TAGTAAGGGTTAGGGTTATCTAGGGCTAGTCAGGGTTATCTAAGGCTAGTATAGGTTAGGGTTATCTAGGGCCAGTAAGGGTTATCTAGGGCTAGTAAGGGTTATCTAGGGCTAGTAAGGGTTAGGGTTATCTAGGGCAAGTAAAGGTTATCTAGAGCTAGTAAGGGTTAAGGTTATCTAGGGCTAGTATGGGTTTGGGTTATCTAGGGCTAGTAAGGGTAAGGGTTATCTAGGGCTAGTAAGGGTTATCTATGGCTAGTATGGGTTAGGGTTATCTAGGGCTAGTAAGGGTTAGGGTTATCTAGGGCTAGAAAGGATTATCTAGGGCTAGTATGGGTTATCTAGGGCTAGTATGGGTTTGGGTTATCTAGGGCTAGTAAGGGTTATCTAGGGCTAGTAAGGGTTATCTAGGGCTAGTAAGGGTTAGGGTTATCTAGGGCTAGTAAGGGTTATCTAGGGCTAGTAAGGGTTAGGGTTATCTAGGGCAAGTAAGGGTTATATAGGGCTAGTAAGGGTTAAGGTTATCTAGGGCAAGTATGGGTTTGGGTTATCTAGGGCTAGTAAGGGTTAGGGTTATCTAGGGCTAGTAAGGGTTATCTATGGCTAGTATGGGTTAGGGTTATCTAGGGCTAGTAAGGGTTATCTAGGGCTAGTAAGGGTTAGGGTTATCTAGGGCTAGAAAGGATTATCTAGGGCTAGTATGGGTTATTTAGGGCTAGTATGGGTTTGGGTTATCTAGGGCTAGTAAGGGTTATCTAGGGCTAGTAAGGGTTAGGGTTATCTAGGGCTAGTAAGGGTTATCTAGGGCTAGTAAGGGTTATCTAGGGCTAGTAAGGGTTAGGGTTATCTAGGGCTAGAAATGATTATCTAGGGCTAGTATGGGTTAGTTAGGGATATGGCTAGGTAAGTTTAGGGTTATCTAGGGTTAGTTATTGTTTGGGTTAGTTACGGTTATATAGGGAATGATTTAGCGGGGGTTAAGGTTAGATATAGACAGGTTTATCTAAGGTTAGATTTAGGGTTGTTTAGTGATAGGTTAGCTAGAGTGAGTTAGGTTAACATGGGTTTTTGTTAGAGTTGCCTAGGGTTACATAGTTAGATAGGAGACACGTGTCCATCAAGTTCAGCCTTCCTCACATCAGTTTTTGCTGTTGATCCAAAAAAAAGCCTTCTCGTCCCCAGAATTGCAGTCAGATCTCTCCTTGGATCAAGAAGCTATTACCCTACAAATACAAACTGATAACCCTGAATATTATGTTTTTGCAAGTATTATTCCAATTGCTGTTTAAATATCTGTATGGACTCTGTAATGGTTAGGGATAAAAAAAAACTGAGTTAAATAGGAATTTCATTGAGAAAGTGACCTTTTTTGCATAATACCACTAATATTGAATCAAAGCTTGATGTTGGTTAGTACGTAATTTCATGAGATTGTGTCACATAGTAACAAAACAAAAACACAGGTTATAGTATATGTTACATAGTCACATAGCTGAAAAGAGACTTGCGTCCATCAAGGGTTATTATTAGAGCTGCCTAGGGTTACATAGTTAGATAGGAGACATGCGTCCATCAAGTTCAGCCTTCCTCACATATGTTTTTGCTGTTCCAAAAGAAGGCAAAAAACCCAGTCTGAAGCGCTTCCAATTTTGCAACAAACTAGGAAAAAAATCCTTCTTGACCCCAAAATAACAGTCAGATGTCTCCTTGGATCAAGCAGCTATTACCCCAAAATAGAGTTTTTAAACGGCAATACACCCCAGGGGCCATAGTCACAGGGCAAGAGGCTGCCAAGTAGGCCCCTCCAAAACCCAGTGGCGAAGTGCAAATCGTCACACCACCTCTTCAGGCAGAGAATTTCATATTCTTATTGCTCTTACTGTAAAAAAACTGACCCTATGACCCCACTAATTAGAAATTATATCCCTGTATGTTATGTTTTTGCAAGTATTTATCCAACTGCAGTTTAAACATCTGTATGGACTCTGATAAAACCACCTGTGACGGATCGTCCGCCAGTCGATGCTCCTAGCGCTTACCAAGGACCATCAGCACCACACTGGACACCATAACCACCACAGACTCCACGAACCGCCGTAGCTTGGTTGGGGTCTCACCGTCTCCTTTCCACCCTGGTCCAACCTCTGGACCCAGGACCGTATGGGAAGGACCTCTCGTCCAGGAGGGTATAGCTGTGAGAAGGACCTCTCCTCCAGGAGATTATAGCTGTATAGCTGGAGAGAGCTCTTACAAGAGCTAGCAGTGATATAGCTGTTATAGCTGTTCCCTACAACACGAGATGAGGCTGCGAGTTGAGGGTAAGAAGATCTGGTTTATTGAGCACAAAGGCATTTCTTTTATATACATTTTCAGGCCAGAGTCACACCCCCTGGACCTGATGGTAAATTGGGACAAAAGGGACACAAACCAATAGAAACAATAATTAACACAGTAACACTCCCACATACAGTCAGCAATCCCTCCCCTCTACCTGTGATATAATTAAGCTAGCTAATGGAATAACAATTATCCACAGGCAGAAAATATCAATTTTTAACCAAAGTCCAGAAACACCCCAAAACACAAACATATCCCCATAAATTCTGGGAGAACAACATATCCAAAAATCACCGATATCAGAGCAGGGGTTCAAAAGTTTTGTGGAAGTCATATTTGACCGACCGCACGTACATTTTCATGTCCAAAACAGTTCCAGAGAATTTGGCTGTGCGGACGGTCTATTTCCAATAGTTCAAATACTAAGCTCTGTTTCGAAAGCACGAACGGGGGCCGTTCATGCAAATACTCAAAGTTAAAGTGGCGTTCGAATTGTCGAACACACTTCGATTTCCGTCGAAGTGTTGAAGTCTGGAGAAGGTAAAGTTCAGCGGTGTTCGTGCCATCGGGTATCCGATTTGAGATCCATGAACTCAACGACCAAACACCGCTGAACGCGTTCAACTGAATTAAAATGGCCGCTGCCACGTGTTCGAATGGCGGCCACTTCGACTAGTGGCGACCACTTCGACCACTTCGAAAATGCAAATCCTTTCCAATAGAATTTAAAGGGCCAGAAACAGTGTCTTAAAATCCAATAAGCCAAAATAAAGTTTTTAAACGGCAATACACCCCAGGGGCCATAGTCACAGGGCAAGAGGCTGCCAAGTAGGCTTCTCCAAAACCCAGTGGCGAAGTGCAATTCGTCACACCACCTCTTCAGGCAGAGAATTTCATATTCTTATTGCTCTTACTGTAAAAAAACTGACCCTATGATTTAAAAACCCTGGAAGATCTATAGATTGGGGCATTGCTGTACTCACAGGCAGCAGCAGAATATTAATCAGAGGATTTCACAGTAGTTGGACCCTCCCACAGGAAACATCCCATGTCACTACTTTTACAAATGTCACACTATGATGGGAATGTTATAATCCAGTTATCAGTTACTATTTTGCAATGTCACCTGCCGATTCTTAACAGAGGGCAATGCCGTACTCGGGGAAGGAACACAAATTGTTTTATTTTTTGTCTAAGTGCATATTAGCGGTGCCCAATTAGCCAGACCTAAGGGTTACGAGCCACTGCAAGTCTGGAGAGTTCATGGTGCCTTCACCAAGGATGACTTTCTACTCGCCTGGACTGAATGTTCACTTGCCCATGGCTAGTGGACACTGGAAATTGTGAGCCCTGATAGAATTACAATACTGGGCAACTCGGCAATGCTTTGCATGTATGTCTGTCAAAAACACAGACACACAAAATATATATAACCAGATGTTTTAAAAGAGGTTAGTGATAAAAGGGGTGTGAAAACTCCACTTTTTACCTGAGTTTGCCTTAAGCTCCTGGATGAGCGTGCTTGCCAGCCTCCTGCCCACAGACTATGGACCCTGTGGAAAATGATGTAAAAGTCTCTGTTCGTGCAATTGGGACTATATGGTTCGTTTACCGAACAACCACACAAATAGAGACCACCCTGGAGCTTGTTAACACCTATTAACAACTTGGAACGTTTCTCACCGCAGTGTTCTAAGTGTTTTTGTCTGGGTACCTATTACAATGAGTGAGGCTATATTGAAGTCTGGTGATCCCTCTAGGTGGGAGAACCAAACTGTGGTTAGATGTGTCACCCCCGGAAGGTAGTTCGCCCTCAGGGGGATCCTGCGAGGGAGGCAGAAATCAAAGATGCCTTTCGTGATGTCTGATGGGAGCAGGCTCCGTCCAGGCAATATATTTAATGGACTGCCGACACTCTGTCCGGCGTAGGATGCAACAAATGGATAACTCCTTCACGAGGCTACGGATAGTGAAGGGTCCCATTAAAAATTTCCTAGAGGTGATATATTTGACCGATGGCAAGCATGGTCCCATGCCCAAAACAGTTCCAGAGAATCAGGGCTTGCGGTCGGTCTAATTTGGTAGTTTGAAAATAAATCAACTACCGAACAGAGTCAATAGTCTTAACCTGGAACTTGGTCCCCTCATCCAAACTAATGATTTCAACGAACATTGCCCTTCTAAGCTGTATAGAAATGAACGCAGACAATGATGGAAGTCCAGCGGTGTTCGGGAGTTTCTGTGTCTGATTTTAGTTCCATGAGATTCATGCCCAAGCACTGCTGCCTGCGTTCATGCGAACAAGATGGTTGCCACCTCGAGGTTGTCCTTAGGAATTGCGGCCACCCAGATGAACAATTAGAACACGTCGGTGAGAAACGTTCCAAGTTGTTAATAGGTGTTAACAAGCTCCAGGGTGGTCTCTGGTTCGTGCGGTTGTTCGGTAACTGAACCATATAATCCTAATTGCACGAACGGAGACTTTAACATTATATTTCACAGGGTCCATAGTCTGTGGGCAGGAGCCTGGCAAGCATGACCCTCCAGGTGCTTGTGCCAAACTCATGTAAAAAGGGGAGTTTGTCACAATTAGTGTTTCAGACGAAACAGAAACATCTCTGTTCCCATTCACGGATATCGTGAGCCCATTCCTGGATGATGCTGGTATCCTCGGGTATTTTATCCTTGAGAGGGGCCAATAGAGTCCAGCAATTTGTCTTGGGCGCCTCTGAATCCTCTCATAACTCCCTTGCGGGGTCGCGGCAACCCATAGTCATGACCATCATCCACTGATCAAACACAGGTGTGTCATTCTGTCTGGGAGGGAAGGGCGTGGGCAGTCCAACCGCAAGCGGTTACGGACATCTTTATCCAGAGGCTAGTAAAGCCACAGGTGCATAAAGTTGGCCAGGTGTTCGGGAGGGGACCAGTCTCCCAAACTTGAGTGACAGATGTTGTGTGGTGTGGCGGCCACCCCGAGAGGATGAGGGGTATCGCCACCAGGGATGTTCTTTGCCCCTATGCAGAGTGATGCTTTCCAAATCCCAAGGACGGTATAGCCATGTAGCTATTATAAGAGCTGGGGATTATAGCAGGTATAGCGGTTCCCTACAAACATGAGATGTGACTCTTTGTTGAGGGTAAGCAGGAACTGGTCTTTTGGTAGCCACACTGGACTTTTATGTCAATAGACCACAGTAAAAACATATACACACTCACATTGGCTCTCAGGTCCAGGACACTCCCATACAAAATAGGTTAATCCCTCCTTTTGTACCTAGGAGATAATTGAGTCAAGCACTGTACTAAACTCAATTATCTCCAGGCACAGAAAACATAATTTTTACAACAAATAAAAAATACCCCCAAAACACACAGAAACCCCAATATAGTCATATCCCCTGATAACCCCCATCTGGGGGACCAACATATCCAAAAATCGCCCAGATCGGTTCAGGGGTTCAGGGTTTCCATAGAAGTCTCAGTTTTGACTGACCGCTCATGAGACTCTTGCCCCAAAAGAGTTCCATGAAATCAGGCTGTGCGGTCGGTCTCTTTCAGGAGAAACAAATACAATAAAAGTACCGAATATAACGGTTCGTAAGTAAGATCAGTCTTTATTCCTTGTTCGGACGTATTTTACCAAACTTCTCTGGAGGTGAAAGTTCTAGCGGTGTTTGCCAAATACCGCTGTATGTGTTCGCAGCTAAAGATGGCCGCCACCACGTGTTCGGCCGTACGAACGGCGGCCACCCAGCCGACTGCTCAGAATGTTAATATAATTGCGGTTACTTGAGGTACGAACAAAGGTGAAAAGGGTTAATGAGCCGCAAACACCTACCCTGGGTGGTCTGGCTGTTCGGTAGTTTGTTCGGTATACGAAATAGTTAGGTCTCAGGTGTTCGGTGAGTTCGTATATCGAACTATGCAGGGTATCAAAATAAACAAAAATTAACAGCATATAATCCAGTGATAGGGAATCCGTCACAGTGCTCCCTCCTTGTGGAACACTCCGGCAGACCCGGTTTGACCTTTTTCGGGTCAACTTGGGGATGTCCAGGGTTAAGTCAGTTGGTGAGCTCCATTTGCCTGGACAACCTGTCGGCATTGCTGTTCTGCTTCCTGGGTCAGTAATAGATAGTATAGTTGTATGTTTGCAGGCCAAACTCCATTGTAGTAATCAGCCATTGTCCCCTGCGACCCGGTTAAGGCAGACCAACGGGTTGTGGTCAGTGATTAGGGCGAACTCTTGTCTGTATAAATAAGGAGCCAATTTCTTTAATCTCCAAGCCAATGCCAAGCACTCCTTTTCCACTGCCGCGTAGCTCACCTCCCTGGGTAACAATTTCCTGCTGAGATACGCGACAGGGTGCTTTCCTCCATCTTCTCCAACTTGACTTAAAACTGCCCCCAGTCCGAGCATAGAAGTGTCTGTGTGGACAATAAAAAACGTTTGTTAGGGACTGGGGCAGCCAAGACAGGAGCATTTACTAGAGCTTGTTTCAGCGACTAGAAAGTGGCTTCACATGCGGGAGACCACAGGGCCTGCCTAGGAAAACTCTTTTTCGTCAGGTCATTCAGGGGTTTAGCTATAGTACTATAGTCTGGTACGACCCGCCTATAATACCCAGTGGTCCATAAGAACGCCAATACCTGAGTCTTGGTGCGGGGTGTGGGCCAGTTAGCGACTGCTTCTTTCTTAGCGGGTTCTGGTCACTGCTTCCCACACCCTACCCGGTGTCCCAAGTATTGGACCTCTGTCATGCCAAGATGACACTTGCTTGGCTTAAAAGTCAGGCCTGTGGTCTGAATCTTGTCTAGCACTACCCCTACATGAACCAAGTGTTCCTCCCAGGATTCACTGTAGATCGCAATGTCATCCAGGAGCCTATCCACCATACGTTGGAAGGTGGCCAGGGTGTTCTTCATCCCGAATTGCATGACCCTGAATTGGTACAAGTCAAACTGGGTGACAAAGGCTGACTTAGTCTCCTTGGCCAGGGGAATCTGCCAATAGCCTTTGCATAAGTGGCTGTTCATCTACTCGGGGCATGGGATACGCATTGGTGGTGGTCCGATTGTTCAGTCACCTGTAGTCAACGCAGAACCAGATTGTCCCATCTTTCTTTGGTAGCAGGACTACAGGCGAAGCCCACGGACTGTCAGGGTGTTCGATAACCCGTCGGTGTAGCATTTCTTGTATCTCCTTCCGCATTCCTTCTCGGACTGATTCAGGTATACGGTATGGGGACTAACGAAGTGGGACTTGGCCTGGTGTCTCTACTTTGTGGACTGCTAGGGTGGTATATCCGAGCTCTTGGGAGAACGTCAGTCGTTTTTCTGACAGTAAGCGCCGGGCATGTTCTGTCTCTAAGGTCGTTAACCAATCTATTTTGACAGAGCTGATTAGATTGGTTTGGGGCTCCTTCTCTAATAACAAAAAGGGGGGAAGAGTCTGCGCTTGAACCAAAAGAGCAGCAACCATAAAAGGGGAATCCCTCAAGAAACCCTTTAAGAGACAGGAAAAATACAAGAGAGGGGGTTAAGGGCTGCGCTAATAAATTAAAAATAATAAATAATAAATAAATCAACAAATAATAATTAAACAACAAATAATAATAAAAATAAAACCAGATATAATGAATAGACAAAGTTCGTCCAAGAATAAATTGAAACAGTCTCACTGATATGTGATAATAACATAATAGTCCTCAGGTGTTGATCCGTCCGTTTGGCAGGTAGTCCATATATGTGGAAATAAAAAACAAAAAGAGAGCTGCCAATGGTGAAATATTGTATGTCCAAATGTGATGTATAAATCAAGAGAAAGATGTTTCACTCACATTTGTTGGAGCTTGAACCAGCTCTAGGAGAAGAGGCACTTAGTGGTTTGATCCCCACTATAGGATATACTTGGATGGTAGGTCCGTCTGTCCGGCTTGGGATTCCCTTGGTGTAGGCTGGGACCTACTCAGATGTACGTAGTTCTTTGGTCCTGGGGAGATAGGTCCGCCTCTCCAATTTTGGATAATGGGAATCCACGAAATATATATAAAACAGCAGATAGTGCTCTCAGTGTGAACAATAAAGCAATTTTATAAAATAAGTTATACTTACAAGAATAGAGCAGACAGATACTGCTCTATTGCCACAGCGCTGGTGGAATTATCCCCACCTAAGGATTTCTTTGGACGGGATACACTTGAGAATGAATTTAAAAATTACGCGTTTCACCTATGAGGTTTTTTCAAAATGGTAAAAGACTTTTACCATTTTGAAAAAACCTCATAGGTGAAACGCGTAAATGGTTTTAATAAGTGTATTTTAAATCAATAAAAGTTATTTTTGGTTACCTTTTATACTAGGACCAATTCTATACTTATTTTTATTGTATTTTATACACTCTTACTACTCCTGGCATTCTTATATATCTTATACCATTTTTATAGTTTTTACTTATTTTTTATCCTTTTGTTTTATTTTTTAATTTTTAAATTCATTCTCAAGTATATCCCGCAGGGTATCAAAATAAACAAAAATTAACAGCATATAATCCAGTGATAGGGAATCCGTCACAGTGCTCCATCCTTGTGGAACACTCCGGCAGACCCAGTTTGACCTTTTTCGGGTCAACTTGGGGATGTCCGGGGTTAAGTCAGTTGGTGAGCTCCATTTGCCTGGACAACCTGTCGGCATTGCTGTTCTGCTTCCTGGGTCAGTAATAGATAGTATAGTTGTATGTTTGCAGGCCAAACTCCATTGTAGTAATCAGCCATTGTCCCCTGCGACCCGGTTAAGGCAGACCAACGGGTTGTGGTCAGTGATTAGAGCGAACTCTTGTCTGTATAAATAAGGAGCCAATTTCTTTAATCTCCAAGCCAATGCCAAGCACTCCTTTTCCACCGCCGCATAGCTCACCTCCCTGGGTAAAAATTTCCTGCTGAGATACGCGACAGGGTGCTTTCCTCCATCTTCTCCAACTTGACTTAAAACTGCCCCCAGTCCGAGCATAGAAGCGTCTGTGTGGACAATAAAAAACGTTTGTTAGGGACTGGGGCAGCCAATTTTGGATAATGGGTATCCACGAAATATATATAAAACAGCAGATAGTGCTCTCAGTGTGAACAATAAAGCAATTTTATAAAATAAGTTATACTTACAAGAATAGAGCAGACAGATACTGCTCTATTGCCACAGCGCTGGTGGAATTATCCCCACCTAAGGATTTCTTTGGACGGGATACACTTGAGAATGAATTTAAAAATTAAATAATAAAAATAAAACAAAAGGATAAAAAATAAATAAAAACTATAAAAATGGTATAAGATATATAAGAATGCCAGGAGTAGTAAGAGTGTATAAAATACAATAAAAATAAGTATAGAATTGGTCCTAGTATAAAAGGTAACCAAAAATAACTTTTATTGATTTAAAATACACTTATTAAAACCATTTACGCGTTTCACCTATGAGGTTTTTCAAAATGGTAAAAGTCTTTTACCATTTTGAAAAAACCTCATAGGTGAAACGCGTAATTTTTAAATTCATTCTCAAGTGTATCCCGTCCAAAGAAATCCGTAGGTGGGGATAATTCCACCAGCGCTGTGGCAATAGGGCAGTATCTGTCTGCTCTATTCTTGTAAGTATAACTTATTTTATAAAATTGCTTTATTGTTCACACTGAGAGCACTATCTGCTGTTTTATATATATTTCGTGGATACCCACAAATCCAAAATTGGAGAGGCGGACCTATCTCCCCAGCACCAAAGAACTACGTACATCTGAGTAGGTCCCAGCCTACACCAAGGGAATCCCAAGCCGGACAGATGGACCTACCATCCAAGTATATCCTATAGTGGGGATCAAACCACTAAGTGCCTCTTCTTC